CTTGTTATAAACACAACACAGGTTTAAATTTAGGCAAACAAAGGTTCAAATCAGCACAATGTTATTTTTGCTTCAAATTTTGCTCCCTCTCATTTTCATCGGTGGTTTTTCCGCCAACATACTTGGATTGGCAATGATGGCAACCCAGTGGGTTAACTTAAAAGCCCACAAAATAACCCATTACCTATTGAATCTGGCCATGGCTGATATAGCGTATCTTCTGGTCATGTTTGTGATGTTTCTCGAACAGATGGTCGGCAAAGTTTTGCATCCAGTGTTGTGCAAGTAAGTTTAACTAAACTAACTAGTTTATTTCAACTAAATTATTAAAGTTTAGGTCGCAGTTTATTCTATTTTGGACGCTAGAAGTGAAGCCCGTCAACCAATTTCAAAAAAATCTGGAATTGAAATTGGTAGAAAATATGAAAAGAGAAAATCTGTTTTGGGTGAGTACTAAGAAGTTTTGAACGCAAATTAATCTAATTATAGTCAGGTTGGCGAATTTGCAGGATGTTTTAAATCACGCGCTTTTTTTCATGTTTTTAATCTATTTTTGTCCTTAATTTGCTTCATATACAACTCGTTTACTGAGATTCACAACTTTCTAAGAACACTTAAAACAATAGTTGTTAGGAAAATCAGTTTGGCTGACCTTTCAGTTAAACTCAAGGCCCTTGTTTTGATGTGTTAACTGACGAGATTCGTTCAAATCAATTGGAATACAAAAATGTCAAAACTTGCCTTCTGTTTGAGAGCATTGAACGTATTGTGAAACAGTTTCAAAACATTGATTTTATATTTTTAACACATTTTTAAACGTTTAAAATAATTTTGATGTTTTTTATGAAGTTCTAACACTTAGGAGACCACCTTAATTACAGTTGATTATCACGGAACAAGAAACTTTGAATAACTAAAATTTGTATATCTTCATAGTTTTCAGAAAGATATCAAACATAAAAGTTTGTTATTGTGATAAAATGTATCTAAAAAATGATAAATAAAAATTTTTTTTGCTTGCGGGAAAATGGTGGACACTTTGTTTTCCGAAACAATTTAACAATCGCCTCAAGAGGACTAAATATAGAATCAAATAAAATCTTATTAGTTTATATATAAGCATGAAAGATTGTACCAAGGAGCTTACGAGATTTTACAAAAACCCCGTTTTTTTAGATCCTACGAGATTTTACGAAACTGGGGGATTTTGAAAAAATTTGAAAATTTTGTTGACCCTTATTTTAGGTCAACTAAGTTGATTTTCCGAGATCAGCAAAATTTTGGAAAAAACAGGCTGAAAATGACGTTTTGAGCATTTTAAAATAACATTGACCCAAAAATTTTCGGCACGCTACAGACCACGGCATATCTTCAGTGCAAACATGGCAAGTTTTTAGTTGTAAATCAAAAAAAAACTTTATTGTTTTTCTAAAAAAAAAACTTTTTTAAGTTCTAGAACACTTTATTTGCTGCGAAAGCTGCAAGTCATTTGTTTTTTACTCTTACTTGTCGGTCAAATATTATTCATTTTTGCTTACACGCAAAGCTTGTCATACTAATTTTCCATCATCATAGGCGCAGATAGGCTCACAATTTAGCGTTTGTAGGGCTCTGGAATCCAAATGTCTTTTTAAAGTTTAGACGGAAAATGTCTAAGTTTTTATCCTTGTTGCTCTATTTTTCAAAAAATTCTGTGAGTTTTCAAAACCAAAGAAGTTTTGGTGATCGAAAAAATTGCTTTACTTCAAAAAAGTGGGCCTCGATTACGATAAATAAATTGGCTTCCGACGGAACAATTTATAAGATTTGCAAAATTTTTCCCACTGAAAGAAAAAAGGCTTATGATATCGTAAGGAAAAACAAAAAGGTTCAAAATATGCAGCTTAACTAAAATTTGTACTCCAACAACCATTCAAGACGCACTAAAGAACCTTCAGGATTTTGATGATATGAGCATCTTGTTTATCTTAATTTGTCAAGTTACATCATATGAGTCTTTCTTTTTGCAAGATAGAAGGATAATTAAAGTAAAGGGCTCTTAACTTGAAATGTTGGCAATAGCAAGAAAACCTTGAATTCATCTTTTTATTGGGACTGAATGCTCTCTATCATTGGTCGATCGATTGAATGCGGATGTTTTGATCGGACTAAATGATAGTTATATTTTTAGTTTACATCCACGTTCCACCTGTATACGTTTCGGTAGACGAGGCAACCACGACGTTTGTCGCTTATTACGCAATTTTTTTGACTTTCGACTTTTTTTTGTTATTTAGTCAATTTTGCAACCGAAATAGATTTTAATTGTACTTGAAGTGCAATCGGAACATTCAGGGCTTCACGCTGATATACGATCCCATCTTGTATAATTCAGCGATCGATTTTAATAAAATCTGAACAAAAAATTTGTATCAGCCAACTGAAATACGAGTAGTTACCTTAATTATCGTAAAAAATTAAGCCCTATTTAGAATTTTTACCTTTAACGAAGTATTGTGATTAGGTTCTGATTCAAAACCTTCTTTTTCAACATTTATTATAATGGTAAGTTTTGGCGAGAAAAAACTAGTCTATTTTAATGAATGACCTGAAATTGGCGACTCATTTGTGATTATTTAATGACTTAATGCAAAATCACCTTTGCAAAATCCCATGGGCAATTTTTTACTTGCAAAATCCTATGGGCAACTTTTTAATTCCTACTTATAGGTACCAATAATACTTCTTGATATTAAAAACGGGTTTTGTATCAGTTTTGTCATTATGATACGTTTTATAGTATGGGTACGATGTTTGTATCAATGTGTTTTGAGAAACCACCGGAAAATATATTAATAACCTGTATTAGCTTGCTGCAAATCGAAACGTCTCAAATGGCAGAGGCGAGAGGAGGGAAAAGTTCGCGCAGAAGGCTATTTGATATGCTAACGTTTCATTACAAATCCCTGAAGCTGTTCACCACAAAAACGTTTTAAGAAAAACCATTGGCAGCTACAAATTCATGAGAAAGTTGAAACAAGGAGATGCCCTATTGTTAACTTCAACACTAAAATAGGAACAAGACTGCTCGTATCAGGGCGAAGCCCTGAATGCTCCGACTGCCTTTTAAGGTATATGGAGCAATAATAACATGAGCAACACAAAAAAATAAATGAAATAAAAAAAATGAAAAATTTTTTTTTTCTAAAAATTGAAATTTTTTATATGAAAATCATCCACCCACACGCCATATAAAGTACAAAACAATAGACTTCTTCACTAGTAACAAATCAACTATGGCAATTAAGCTTCTTTCAACAATTTGGAACAATTTCTAAGACGGGTTAAATCTCCGCTCACATGTTAATAGAAAATAGCGCGAAACCTATCGCGCTAATTATCCTAAATCGGCCAAAATGGCAATCTTTAAACCCCAAGCTTAAATTACTGCAAACTATTTTTGCAAGCTTAAATTATATTTTTATTTAAATCAATTTAATACAATCTTCGTTGATATCACAATGAGTTTCTCGATATAAGTGAATGACTATATATATTATCAGGTCAAGATTTTAAAAATCATAATCACTTTTTCAGACTAAAAGAACAAGAACAATTCATTTTTTAGTATATTCAATATTGTGATATCTATCCAATAACTAGTCATTTTCTAGTCAAAAATTGGCAGTTTCAAATAACCAGAGTGAAAACTGAGCTGGTTGGTTCAACAAATCTTGCAGTGAAAAATTAAAAAAGGAAAAAAACATGTTTTTTTTCTGATTTATCCAAGAGCAATTGATACTTCACAAACAAAAACTTACAGTTTCAAAAAGTTACTAATTATTTTGCAGCGGGAACACTTCTGTTGAAACTACCGAATTTTGGTTTTTAATCATTTATCAAAGATAATCATATATCGATTTTTGCTGCAGGCTTCATCAGCCTAATGAAACCAATTTCAATCTAAAAAAATAAATGCGAACAAATTTTGGATATATGCTTAGTATCTAAATATAACCATTAAACTTAAGAGAAGCTAGGAAACAAAATTTGTTATACCACATTCATTTTGAAAGAAAAGCGCTGAAATACAATATTTTGTACATTGTATTCGTGAATGACTCATAAAATGATTCCAAAATGTCGTCATTTTTTGACTTTTCTAAAAGCATAAGCTTATCCTTAGACCTTGCAGGGCAATCTGAGTTATCGGGGCTTCGCCCTAAATCAAGTCTTCCTGTTAGTGTTGTTGTTTTTAAATGTAATGATACTACTTTAAAATATTTAACAAATTTTTTTGAGCAAAATTAAAACGGTTAATATAGTTCAGACGAACAATTTTTCGCTAATTATGTCAGCTTGCGTATAAACTATACTTTTCTCAAACTAATTAAGTAAAATTTATGTTTCAGACCGAAATTTTTCTTTGACGTTCTCTCTCAGCACGTGAGTGCGTGGTTGATTGTGATGATGAGCCACGAGCGATATCAGGCCATGAACAGTCCATACACTTACAACTCAACATACCAGACCAAGAATGCCATGGCACTGCTGTTTGTATGGATCAGTGGATGCTTTGTTTCCGGTATGAATAGCGTTCTTTTTCCTTAAAAAATGAAAATTAGACTGAAACATGTTTCTTTTTTATACCCAACTTTGTGAAACTACTCGTGTTATAAGAAAAAAGTTATAATCGAATGATGAAAAACTAATTAACTTAGACGATAAGTTTTTTGATATTGAATTTGAAGACCCGAAAAACATTTAAAATCTTGCTAGAAGCGTCCAAATAACCTGATTACAAACAGATTGATTGTTAAAAAAAATAGACCAATTGCTTGATAAGGAAATGAACTTTTTACTTTCTTGTCGAGCACATAATTGGTACAAGAATTGAGTTTTAAATACTAGAAAAACATTTGCTGACATCCTGCAAGGCACTTGAACGCTTTTAAAATGTTTGAAAGAGTTGTTGAGAAAAAAATAGTCTGATAACGAGGAGGTTGATTTGAATCAATCAAGAAAATTGATTGAAAAGGAAATAACATTTTTTAGTATATGGTCGAGCACATAGTTGTAAGAAATTGACTCGAATTAATTGTATGCCAACCGCCAAAAAATATAATGTGATTCGGTTTACATTTGATATTAAAAATTTTGATTTTCTGAAAATCCTGCTTAACGGCTTTTTCGGTGTTTTCTTGATAAAAGATATATCAATCAAATTTTTTTCCTAGCAGTGGAAAAAATGGGTTTGGCAACCGCTCTACCTCTCAGTTTTAGTTTATCGACAGATCACTAAAAATCTAAGCTTTTGCTCCTAAAAAGTAAAAAAGAAATCCGAGAAACCAAGAAGCCATCCTAAAGAATCCCCCATCAAAAAATCCAGCGCCCACCAATGAAGGTGATATATTTCTGAAAAATTTTTGCTTCATCGTAAAATTTTCGACTCTTTCCTTTTCTTTTTCTTTTTCTTACAATTTTTCTTTTCGATTTTTTTTCTTACACTTTTTCTTTTCGATTTTCAGCACCAATTGCGATTTTCACTGAGGCGATGGAGGAACCAGTGCCGAGTTTGAATGCGCAAGGGGAAGGGTTCGGCAACTTCACCATTCTGCACTGTGGCAGCACCTGGGATCCCCTCTGGAAGTCCGTCTACTTCTCCTCACTGGCCGTGATGGAATGTCTGGTCCCTGTTGGGCTGATGGTGTTCTTCTACTATGGAGTGTTCAAAAACTTCCTGCGCCAAATCCAGTAAATTTATTTTCATTATACGAGCATAGTAATTTTGTGTCTTTTAATCAAATGCGACAAATATAAATGTTCCTCTAAATTTGCAGCAGAAATTGTTTTTTTTCCGACATTTGATTTTCAAACAATTAAAATTATTCCGACAACTTGCAGCAAAATTAGTTTTTTTCCCGACGTTTGATTAACAAAACGGTATGTGTGTTTAAACCAGTCTAATGAAAAGTTACATAAAAATAAGGATAGCCGATTACTGTGCAAGTAGCACAGAGTGTTCCCACCATAGTCTTAAAAACATTTAAAAGATTTCGAACTAGTAACGTTTTTTTTCTGCAAGGTGTAATAAAAAGGCTCTGAACAAGAACTATAATATAAGCATAGTCGACATTCATAATAAAACAACTAAACTGGACAACACATTTTTTTTGTTGTTTTTGATGTTTTGTGATTTGCAAATTGGCGTAAAACAAACTCCAGAAACTAATTATAATTGGAAGAAAAACGAAGTTTAAGCATAAATAAGCTATTTTAGACGGCCTAAATTAAACATAAATAAGCATGCTTGCTCGCTTTACTCGCTCGAAGTTTCGAAATTAGACCAAACATCAAGAATTTCAAACTGGTTTCTCTTGACAGAGGAAAAAAATATTGAAATTTTCTAATTGTCGTTCAAAAAAACCTGAACGGACTTTAATATAATAAATCACACGGCCCATTCATATGGATATTTGTGGTAGCTAATTTTGCGTGGAAATTAAAAAGAAAAAAAAGAAAAAAAAACAGAAACAAATCCGAATAACAATTTCGTCCCTATTTTTTTTAACGGTCGAAACAATGATCAGAAGTTATAAGCCATCCGACCGCCATTGCCTCTTTTACATTAAATTATGTTTTTTTTTAAGTATGCAGTTACTACTTGTAGCTATCATTCTTGGCTGATTTATATGGTAGCTGATTTAAATTTCGGAGCGCCTTTTTACCTGGATAACGTCATCCGACCGTTATAAGCCATCCGACCGCCATTGCCTCTTTTACATTAAATTATGTTTTTTTTTAACAACATGCAGTTACTACTTGTAGCTATCATTCTTGGCTGATTTATATGGTAGCTGATTTAAATTTCGGAGCGCCTTTTTACCTGGATAACGTCGTTCAATGACAATATTTTCTTATGAAATTATTTTTATTTAAAAACTCCATAACCAAATATCACAACACATAATTCAGAGGAAAAAAAATTTGATGATGATTTAAAAAATAAAAAATATTCCCTACCAGAAATATCATTTTTAAAAAGGAATGTGTACTAAATGAAAACCAAAGATTCGAATTCTTGAGTTTAAACTGTTTATTAGTTTTTGCTTCAGGCGTTTTTCTGTTTTGGTCTTCAGTTTATTCAAGGACTTTCAACAGTAGCTGATTTAGGGGAGGGAAAACGGCGAAGGCTGCTACTCTCAGGGAGTCGACCCTCTGCCGACCCAAAGGGTCGGAACTGTGGACTTTTTTTAGATGTCCATTTTTGAATGATTGACTCTTTGGTGCCAGTATTTATTAATTTTGAGGGAGAGCGATTGCCGAAAAAACGGTTTTTTTTTGGTCAAATTTGTCCTTGTTATGTTATTTTATCTGAATGATTGATTTTACGATGTACAGCATGATTTAAAAATTGACAAAACAGTTTTTTTTTGTCAATTCAAAATTTCAATGCTTTAAAACAACGTAAGTGATTTTTTCAAAATTGAAAAATAAATGAGTGTGGGAAAAGTGGGATTAAACTTTTAGGAAATAAGTGCTTCTAAATTGAATTTCAAACGTAATTACTATTTCCAGGCGTCAAACAAAAAACTACAGAATCCTAGTCTATGGAAAAAGATGTTTGGAGTATGATGCTTCACAATCAAAATTGTTCTTAAAGCAAAATGGCCACGTTTTATTAGCTATTTTAAAAAAATTACTACCAAATTACAACCGTAAAGTTACAAAATAATTCATGAAGAATCAATCTGTTCACAGTTGTTAAATTATTTGCCACAACAAGTTACAATTCATAAAGACAACTTTAAACAGATTTTCAAATCTCAAACTAAAAAGTGTGAGAAGTGAAAACGAGCCAAAATTCGAATTTCAACTTTTATTTGAGTTTTTAAATGAGCATGAAGAAAAAGTTTCAAAAAAACGAATGAGCTCAATTTTAGACATTTTATTAAATTGAACAGCACAAAAAAACAGAGAAGTAACGTAGAGCTGTTTTTTTCATCAATTTTTGTCTTTTTCTCATTTAAATTGGACAAATATTAACAAACGAAATAGCCCATTGCCCTTAAAGATATGGCCATACAAGTAAAATTTTTGCGGCTATGCAACCAACATCCTAGGCGTTCGATCATTACGAACTCTAGCCCAAAATTTGAAAATACTTTTATCACCATCTGAAATGTAAAAAAGAAATCTGCACAATAGTGCATTTCATTTTCACCTACTATTTTAGTCAGAATTTTTGTAATGTTTTCTCGAAAAATCATCAGACTTTACAATGGTAATTTAGTAAGGCTGAAAACCATGACTATCGGGAATACTGCACTATTGAAAAGACATCACGAACTAATTTAGAAACTAATTTAAAAACAAAAGTAAAGACTGCTTTCAAGAAAGTTCATTTGATTTTGAGCAACGAAAAAAATTCGAGATATTTCATTTAATGGCAAACATTTTTTTGTTGGCAATAATTTTTGAAGTTTTTTTCAGGACAAAAAACTTGATGCTTTTAAATTTGCATCAAAGGTTAACAAGACTGCTCGTGTCAGGGCCAAACCCTGAATGTTTCGACTGCCTTTTAAGGTCTATGGAGCAGCAATAACAAAATTTAAATGTAATAAAAAAATTGATTTTTTTTTAATTTGAGATTTTTTTTTGTGAAAACATCCCCCCCACACGCCTTATTTGGGAAATAAGCTTCCTTTAACCATTTTGGAACGATTTCTAAGACCGATAAATTCTCCGCTTATGCGTTAATAGCGCGAAATATATCGCGCGTTAATTGTCCCAAATTGGCCAAAATGACAATCTTTAAACCCCCATAACTTTACGAAAAACGATCACAGGTGAAATATCTTTTCAAATTTGAGCTCAGGGCAACAATACCTTTTGAATGATATGAAAAAAATTCCGTCAAAATTGGCTAGTTAAAAAGTCGAAATTTGTCTGAAGAAAAAAAAACCCACCCCGAGCACAAACATTTCGTTACTTTCGTATCGAAAGTCGGAACAATAAGGCAATTTAGAAGATCTCCGGGAAAAGTGAAGCGAGCAGTGTTTTCAAGAATTTGTTGAACGGTGATTTAAAATGTTTGTATTTACACGTCGCGTTTGTTAACCATTAAGAAACTATTTATTATTTGTTTGCTCAAACTTTGATTATCAAAATATTAGCTTTTGTAAGCCTCTTAACTGGAAAATTTTAGAGGGAATTTACACTTAAGGTGGACATAAATGGTTCAAAATCAAAATATTTTCGATTTCTTTCGTATTTCAGGAAAAATGAAAAATCATTTTGTGGTTTGTATCCATAAAAGCTAAAACAAATGATTGAAATATATGGTTTTGAAAAAAAATCAAAAGTTAAGTAGTCGCACTAGAACAATATATTCACTGGAGTTATTGAATCGTGGCCGAGCTTGATACCCAAAATTTAGATTGAAAATGAATTCCCCCGTTTAATCAACTTTGTGATTAACCCGAAATACAAATAATCTTTTCTTATATGTCACTGGTCTTTGCAGAGATGAAAAACAACAAAGGTTGATTTTCTATCCTCTCATCATCGGCTTAGTTTCCTCTCATTAGTGCTTTAAATAAGGATAATTTCTTTGTTTCATTTTGGTTTCTTTTATTGTTAGTGCAGATAGTGCACTGCAGATAATTTGTGCAGCAAGTTCATTGCAGATAGTTTGAAGGTGACTATAAATGTCTAGGTCATTCAAACTACCCTAAAACACATGAGTTGTTTATTCAAAAACTTCAATGGGTTTGAATTAAAAAAATTCTTCCTATTTGTTTGTTTTTGTCTGAATAGACATTTTCGAAGCTGTCAGGTTTTGTTGGATTCAATCGACTTATGTTAAGTTTGAAAAAAATCTCTACAAGACTTTAATTATTTATCTTAATTGGATTCTTGTAATTAGGCTCAATGTGTTCAATTGAGAAACTTACAAACTGTACAAAAACTGCATGCAGTCGATCAATCAAAATATAAAAAAAAAGTTTTTTTGCTGGACCTATTAACTTCGAAAAAATGTTAAATAAACTCCAGAAAAAAATCATTTTTGATGCAAAATATTACAAAAAAATATTCAACTTTTGAAAAGAAAAAAGCCCTGAAAAATAGACAAAGTTGTGAAAAAAGAACAAACAAACATATATGTTGGCTCAAATTCATAACATCAAGAGAAAATGTAAGCATCAATCAACTGATACACGGATCAGAACAATACCCCCAAAGTTTTAGGTCAGTAAAATTAACAAAACAAGACTGAAATTTTCAACCCAAGTGAGAGTTTTTTTTAATGATTCTGTCAAACTGGACTATAAAAAACGGAGGCTTAGAGATCATACAATGTGCAGCAACAAATGTAATAGTCTAGTACAATCAAAAAAGAGACTTTTAGCATCAGTGAATTGTATGCAAAAAATTTCAACCAAAAATTTAGTACTCTTTTATAGGTCTTAGTAACTTTTTTTGTTTTTTTTTTACGGACAAAATTTTAAAATTTGCTCACGCTCATTTTTTTTGCCAAATCAACAAAAAATGTTTGATTATTGTTTAGTTGACTTCAAACAAAAATTATAAATGTTGTTTCTCATAATTGCTCTCAAAAGGCAACTGCAGATGCTTGTAAATCGAGTTGCTTGTTACAGTTGCCAAATTTAGCTCAGAAACTTGCTCAATTTGCGGTTTAGCTTTCTAAAAAAAATTTTAATTGATCCATTAGTGAACAATCTACAGATATG